GTATTTGTGACATTAGTCAAACCAATTGTGTTGAATCTAGAGACACAATAAGCCAATTGCGAGTTAAATTTGAATAAAATTTGGTACACCTTATGCTACCTGATTGGCGTCTTGCAAGCAGACTGTGTTCATGGCAAGACAGTTGTCCCACCAGTAGTGCCAAAGGCAACAGGTTCTTAACCAAGATGGACTGCTACCAAGGCATCTTTACAGTAAGCCTGTTCAGTATTAATTTCTTTTTATATCGCGATATCATCGTGTTGACATCATTTTTCATTCATAAAATAAACAACCGAAATCATCACTATGCCTTGAGAGCCACTTAATAAAAAACAAATGATGCATATGTATTATATCTCTATATGTAGAACTCCAATGCTGGTGGAAAGCAAATATCAACATTGAAATTGTGGACATTAAGTTATCATATAATATCATGGTGCTGTATTGAAAAAGCCATTTCCAAGCACACATTAGTGCTGTAGTGGTAAAGTTCACTCAATAAGGCAACCCCCTAAATGGACAGAGTGCATATGTGTTACAAGAGGGGGTGCTGGTCTTGATGCCCTCACCTCATTATGGTATGACGATCTTGTGAGTCCCTGAGTGAGAGAGCAGACTTAGCTGGAGTTTACTTTACAATACATAATACACGCATGTAGAGTCTGTTGGTTTGGTTCCACCCCCCAATACTTGTAAGACCCTTGCAGCTGCTTGGGCTCAACAGTGAGTTTATGGTTAGAGGTTTACAATGGAGTATTTGTGTGGCCTAAATGCAGTAATGGAGGGCTCAACAGGCGGTGCATGTACAGTACATCCTTTGGAGCTTATCACGATAATTTTCAGTGTATCGATTACACAATATCACGATACATGTTTTTACGAATGATACGGTATCTGATATCAATATCATATTGTCATATCAAACAGGCTTACTTGACAGCACCTCATAGTGAGTTCCCAGAAATTACTACAACCTTAGTGATTGCTCTTCTGTTCATCCTCCCTTGTACACTTATGATTTATCTGGTGCATTATTATTATTTTTTATTATTATTTATTCGGCCAAACAAAAGTGAACAAAAAATTTTAAAAAATAAATTAAAAAAGCATGAACATGTATATTTTTTAAAAAGGCAAACATCAAAAAACAAACCAAAAGAACCCACTTTCATGTGGCCAGGATTAACAAAAAAGAAAATAAACCACTGTAGCTCAAAAGCCAATTAATCCATCCTTAAAGTGGAACCAAAAACCTTAAGGGAAGAAACTATAATGGCAAGAGAATCACTGGGGAAAAAAAGTAGTATAAGAAGTATTGAAAAACAAAACCATGAATACGATGAGACTAGAATCCTTAATTGGTGGCCTAAAAATTGGGATATTGCATAAGGGAAAAGAATGGTGAATTGAAAAAAAAAAGATCCGTTTGAGTTACAGATGTAATTGCATTTCTCAAGGATATATCAAAGGAAATCTCAATAAAATGTCAAAATAGAAATGATGTATGAAGAATAATAGAACTATAAATAGAAAGGATAATGGCTTAAAAATACAATAAAATCAATATTGATAAGATTATGGCAAGTAAAGGACATGTTTTTACTTAAATACCTTTCTATTCTAGAATATAGATGGTTGAAAACAAGTGTATCCATGTGACGAGTGTTGACAGAAGTATTTAGGTTGACGATTGGACAATTAATTAACCTGCACAGACATTTTGCTGTAAACTGAGTCTTTACCTTCGAAATTCAAGGGTTTGCCAGTTCAGGGTTCTGAGTCTATCTTCATATGACATGTCTCCTCTCTGCTGTTTGAGGAACATCCTGGTTGCTCTCCTTTGAACCCGTTCAAGTTTAGATGACAGAGATTCTGTATATGGGTACCAGGTAGGCAGTCCATATTCAAGGATGGGCACAACAAGGGTTCTGTACAAAGACATCAAGGCACTTGTAGACTTCCACCTGCAGTATGCCAAATGAAACCTAGTGTCTTAGTTGCCTTAGCAACCACACTGTTAATGTGGTCATTCCAGGTGAGGGTATTGTTGATTGTGACTCCAAGGTACTTGTACAAGGTTGTAGTGCAAGGGGAGATCCGTGAAGTGAATACTCTGGTATGACATTAATGTTGTCAGCGACTACCCTTTCCAAAACTTTGCAGACAATGGAAGTTAGAAGTACAGGACGATAATTTTCTATGAGTGTTCGTTTGCCAGATTTGAAGACATGGGCAACATTGGATAACTTCCAAGCCATTGGGAGTGTGCCAGATGAAAGCGAGTAGTTCCTCACATGAAGTAATGGCGAAGCAATGGAGGTTGCAGCTACACATAGAACAGTTGGTTAGATTCCGTTGGGACCGGGTGCCTTGTGAGGGTCAAGATTTTTTAATAACTTCAAAAGCCATCCTAGTTCAATTTGAAGTGGCAACAGTTCAGGAATGGGTAGATTGCAGGGTGATGGTGTTACTGGGCAAGATCCAGGAGGAGAATGGACTGATATTCCAATGATAATGAAAGCCTGATTATGTCTTTACATCCCCAAAATGTCTCTCTTAACAATAAATAGAATTACTGACAAACACCAATTCTCCAAAATACCCGACAAGAAAACTAAAAGAAGGTAGCTGGTCCAGAGGAAGATGAAAAACACACAAAAACATAGGAAGATTCGTTGTCCTTTCTGTCACTGTCCAAAACTGTCTCTGCATGAAACCTTGTCACGTTGTGAAATGCATTTTTGCGGCATGTTTCAACCTTCTTTTAACCATGGGAACCACTGGGGTTACGAATTATGATGGAAATATCGCATTTCATAATTTGGGTATGTGTTCTCTTCCGCCAGAACTGCAAAACGTCATAAATGACTTTTAAAATGTCTGATTTTTACCAAATAACCACCACTGATTTGGAATTTTCAAGTGCATCTCCAGGGATCGATGTATTCTCGCCGACTCTTAAGGACTACTGTAGAGAACTGCACATGTCCTTTGTGTATCTTTTCCACCATTTATTTACTTCAATATGTGGCAAGAAGACACAGCGAGTCTGTGGGTTACCAACAGCCTGGCATTTTATCACTTTGTACAATGGGTCATAAACACTGTGGCCAGTAACCACACTTCGTCTGTGGAGCTGGCCAGAGCAGTTAATTGGATTACGGTTCGTGGGGACTTAGTTCTAACTACTGTGTCTAATAGCTCCATGGTGCTACTCTGCATATGTACATCTATGACTATTTGGGTAGGTTGAACACAGTTGACTCCTCCCCCCACCCCCTGTAATGCGGGAAAGTCCAATAGAGAATACCTACCCAAATAGTCTGCACTTGCCAGTCCTCCCCACGTTCAAATCCTTTTGAAAGGTAGGATGAAAGTGGCAGTGGCACTGCAACGCATTGTAGTAGAAGAGGGCGTACTACAGTTGATCAAGTTTTTAGCAAATGGCAAAAGGCATCAAGGAAAATTTGCATATATAGGACTGTTTGGGTAGGTATTCTCTCACGGGCTCGTCCCAAATTGGCTTGTATCATTCATGAGCAAAATATCTCACCAACATTTCTCAAAAAGAATTTAAAAATTAAAATCTTTTTTTAAAGATAGTTGCATTGTCATGAAGCCTTTTTTACATTCCATTTTTACCTTACATAGTTTACACATACTATTCTGCTCATGTAGGAATGGACTGATGGGAAAATGCATCTTCAAGTTGATTTTACTTACATGTGTATATATACCTGTTTGTCACATGTGAGGATTCCTCAATCAGAGGTTTGGTTTGTGAAAATTTGGGTTTTGCAGGTGACCAAGGACTGACTAGAAAAGATGTTGCACAAAGCTGTGAAATATAAGAAAAAAGTAACACAAGGTTTCTTAAATGGATAACAAGGAATTTCCAGACAGAAAAGATTGATGTTCATATGTGACCTGCTCCAGGGAAAGGTAGTATAAGGCGCAAAATGCATTTTTAACAGCTCTGGCCCACTCAACGTAAAGAGGGTGTCACTTCCTGTCAAAAATTCTGGTTTTTGTTTTGTTTTTGTCATAAATGATATTGTCTATAGTTTCAGGATTCATTTACCAAAATGGTGATTTCAGTAAATAAAATTGTCAAAATAACACTTTACAAGAATTGTTCTGTTGTATTTTCTCAGTTTTGTTGCGTTTATTTGCAAAAGAAAGTCTTTTCTTTCCTGCAAAATCAGTGAAAATCATTCCACAATCATTGTGTGAAATGTGAAGGTGATATTGAAATAGGAACATTTTGGTTACTAAGGGGATTTTCATGCCTACATCCACAACATAGCCAGCTATTTCAGAGCGTGTTTCTCAAATGTGTAATTTAAACACTATTGAACTAATTAATATGCAAATACATCACCACTAGAATCGGAGGAGCTATATGGAACTCTATCATATACCAAATGAAAGCTTTGCTTTCAAATCATGTAACTTGATTTTCATTTTCTTGCAACTTACATGTATATCACCTTTTTCTGGAGCAGTTCACATGTGCTGAAGCTGATATTTGTTATCTAATTATCTGACTGATTAATGCTAATCTTAAAAGATGGGGGGGGCTGGAATTGGACCCCTTTGACAGTTTTTCTGATATCACCACGGTGCATTTTTTTACAGGAGCTGAACCTTTGAAAATTGAACATACCGCAGAACCATCTTTCCAAGATACGTCTGCCAAAAATGTGGTGCTCAAGCCTTGCAGATTGACACACATGTTGCCTTGAACTTGAGATGACTGTAACAAAACAGCATGCCTGATTGAGTTCAAACTTTGTATAGATAAGGAGAGTCTTTACAATTCACACCAAGTTTCAAACAAATTGAGTATGGTTCAACCAAGTTCTCTGGAGTTTGGAATCCCTTCTATTTGCAAAACTTAGAGATTATTTGTATCCTGATTATTGTGAATACTGCTACTGTGACTGCTGCAACAAATTTTTCTTATTGTTATACTGCTGTTGTTTTCACTGTTGCAGGTGAATCATTTACCATTTCCCTATAGTGCCCCAGAACAATTCCAGCGTAGTGTCAGAGTACCAATTGGTAGCACATGGAACACACCTTCAGTTTTCAAGAAGATAACAACTGCAAATGTAACAACAAAAATGGGAACAGTTATTGAGCCAATCGATGCTTCTGAAACATTCAAGAAAACCAAGAAGAGGACATCAGAACCCCTAGCAACAACACAAAATGCTAAAAAAAAAACAATCAAATGGAACAAAGAAAGGAAATAAATAACTGTCAGTCCTGATTGCTAGTAAACAATTTAGCAGTAACTTTTTGAAACATTGAAGTTGCAACATTTACAAGTTCTAGCTTTATACTGATAACAGGGTTTAAAATTCTGTTCTACAGCCTCATATATGTTGCTATTTAAGCTTTACAATTAACTTGTCTGGAGTATATTACTAAGAGACCAATCATTATTATTAATGATCCTGTTCAATTGAAGGTGCTTCTTTTTAATTCTATGGTTCTTATTTCCGACTGACCCTGCTTTTTGCTTCCGACCACTGATTTTTTTTTTAATCTACCGCCCTTGTCCACAACGTAGCTTAGAAAAAAATCTAAGAAAAGGACACTCTTCGAAGAAAATCCAGTCATAAATATCTGATATACATGTATTCTATTTGTCTACTTAACTAATGTGTACCTTGGGAATGCATGAACTAGTTGAACCATGGACAATGAGGGTCTTGGCTTACTGAACTTAGCTGGTATGCCTTTTAACAGTCAACTTTATGATGGTATGTAATAAGTGCAAATGTTGTTTATTTTGTGTAACTTAATCAAAGGGGATAATGATTTGTTTATTTTTTTTAACTGACTAAAAGTCATGGAATTAAAAGTTACTTCCAAACCAGGCAGTCATCCATTGAATGCCTCGGAACACTTTGTTAAGCTTTAATTTGTGTTCATGTTGTCTTTTTTTCCTCACATTTTTTACTGTTAGACCTTCCTCTTATGCTAAGAAGATATGAGAACCATAGTATTAGAACTGCAAAATTGTTAGAAAAGACTAAAGGTGCAGTCAGCTTGGAAAACCAGCATAAACATATATCGGGTATAGAGTGCTGAAGTGAATACACCATGCACACATTTATACGTGTAATAGGAGACAGTGTTTGAACTCGAACCAACACATGCTCTTATTCCATTCAGTTTAATACGCTTTGCTTTTTTATTCAAATGACGTCATACTTCAGCACTCTATAGTAGATATGCATTACATCTTTCAGGAGTAGGGCAAGAGCTGAACAAAACAAAATGAAAGCTTTCTACTGTTTAGTTGTCATTTGAAGTGTTACATAACACTGTAATATGTTGATTATACACTGTAATAAAATTAAAATTAAAAATCTTTTACCAGTACTGTAAGCAGTTTAAAAAGGTACCGGTACATAAATTGTCATTTTTATTTACTGGTTTATTAATTAGATCAACTTAACTAGTTTATTGACTAGGATGTAGAAGTCACAGTATGTGAAATGTCAGTCATTTTAGAGTTGTGAACTCGTGTATTCAAGAGTTTGTTTTTGTATCTTCAGTTTTTGAATGCGTGTGGAATTTCATTTACAATTCTTGTTTGTTAATTAATGTACAGTTATTACAACGTAGATGCAGATTTTCTAATCTACATGTATATACATGTAAGTCCATTTTCTCAAATAGAAAGAAAGCCCCCTTCCCTAAATAAATCATAGTTCAGTACATGATCACCCACAAGACTGATGAGAGCAATTGGGGAGCAACTTATTTTTAGCTTTGTTTTTCAGATTTTTAAAAGCATTGTTTTTGGCTTTTTTGCAATTTTGCAAAAAAAACTTTCTGTTTGTCAGTTGGTTTTTTTTGGGGGGGGGTTCTTTTATTTGGGCCAAAACCCATAGACTTTGCGCACGTTTTTCTCTGCAGCACTTTTGCCATTAACCCTAACCCCCAAGGGTTGCTGGCCCTAACCTTCCTCATATGGGACTTTGTGCACAGAGGCTGTTGGACTTTGTTTTTCTGAGGTATTCCAAACCCAATGCAAAA